GTGATGATGAATGCCAAAGGACATGTTAAATGTTACCATGTTCGTGTCATTATAGACGAAAAGCAAGGTATATGATGGGAACATGTCTGTTCTCGTTGTTGTTTTTTTGTGGTTAAAATTTAGGAATATTACCAATCGCTATGAAATGTCAACCAAGTTCAATTTTAGCGTAACTACCAAGTGTAGTAATACAATTCATACAATTAGTGTTATGCTATTTTATAAGGAACATTTAGATTAATACAGCACATGTGGTATTAATTGAAGAACATGAATATTAAATATTTTTATGTAATCATGATGATTTCTTTAGCCTGCATTATCCACGCTAAACGCTTATATGTCATACAATTGCATCTTTTCGGGACTTTTATAAACCCTTTGCCCATCCCCCCCAAAAAAGATTACATCGTTAGTTTGTTATCTATTCATATATTTGTAACTTGATCTAGGTTACCAATGGACAAGGTTGTGGTGGTTACGCTATGTTTATTATTTGATTTCATCATTGTGGTCAAAACCTATATGATGACTTACTATGATGTGTGTTAGAACTGTGACCATGAAATATGGAACACAGGAAGACTCGGGAATGGGTTGGATTACTGGTTATAATAAGTTTACTATTTCTAGCAATAAACGATAGGATATGCATACGGCTTGTTTGTGTTTGAAGGGCGGTATTGTTCTAGAACATGTGTTATATTGAATTGAAATTATTACTCTATAATCATGGGAATTACCCCCTTGGGAAATATGACCTTATTATTAACCTGGGAAATAATAACCCCGTCACAGTCCTTACCTCCAGGAAAATCCTATATGCTGAGTGCTAGACTGGCACAGGCGGGACTTTTTATGTAATTATGACGACTTTTTAGCCTGTATTTTCAACGATAAATGCTTAGATATTATATAATTGCATTGTGAAATCTGGAGTACAGTGCGAAAAGGGGGGGTTACTGGCTATAATAAATTGACTTGGCTTTCTTTGAAGTAATTGTACCAGGTCATTGGAACTCACTGTCTCCCTCAAAAAAACAATATACGATAGGATTTATATTTAAGATACACGAGGGCGCCTTCATTAATATAATATAATATAATAACGAAATGAAAAACAACAAAGCTAAGACAAAAAGAAAACCGAAATTAGTATAAAATAAAAACTGGCTTGCTTGCACAGTCGGGAATTCTTTTTTTTTTTTTTTTTTTTTTTGAAAAAAAATCGCATTCGCATTTTTACATTGTCTTTGCATTAGGTTGGCATTGTCTTGACATTTTTATATTGTCTTTGCATTAGGTTGGCATTGTCTTGACATTTTTATATTTTTATATTTTCTTCGCACTAGGTTGGCATTGTCTTGACATTTTTATATTGTCTTTGCACTAGGTTGGCATTGTCTAGAGATATTTACATTGTCTTTGCATTAGGTTGGCATTGTCTTGACATTTTTATATTGTCTTTGCATTAGGTTGACATTGTATTGACATTTTTATATTGTCTTTGCATTAGGTTGGCATTGTCTTGACATTTTTATATTGTCTTTGCATTAGGTTGGCATTGTCTTGACATTTTTATATTGTCTTTGCATTATGTTGGCATTGTCTCGACATTTTTATATTGTCTTTGCACTAGGTTGGCATTGTCTTGACATTTTTATATTTTCTTCGCACTAGGTTGGCATTGTCTTGACATTTTTATATTGTCTTTGCACTAGGTTGGCATTGTCTTGACATTTTTATATTGTCTTTGCACTAGGTTTTCATTGTCTTGACATTTTTATATTGTCTTTGCATTAGATTGGCATTGTCTTGACATTTTTATATTGTCTTTGCATTAGGTTGGCATTGTCTTGACGTTTGTATATTGTCTTTGCATTAGGTTGGTATTGTCTTGACATTTTTATATTGTCTTTGCATTAGGTTGGCATTGTCTTGACATTTTTATATTGTCTTTGCACTAGGTTGGCATTGTCTTGACATTTTTATATTGTCTTTGCACTAGGTTTTCATTGTCTTGACATTTTTATATTGTCTTTGCACTAGGTTGGCATTGTCTAGAGATATTTACATTGTCTTTGCATTAGGTTGGCATTGTCTTGACATTTTTATATTGTCTTTGCATTAGGTTGGCATTGTCTTGACATTTTTATATTGTCTTTGCATTAGGTTGGCATTGTCTTGACATTTTTATATTGTCTTTGCATTAGGTTGGCATTGTCTTGACATTTTTATATTGTCTTTGCATTAGGTTGGCATTGTCTTGACATTTTTATATTGTCTTTGCATTAGGTTGGCATTGTCTTGACATTTTTATATTGTCTTTGCATTATGTTGGCATTGTCTCGACATTTTTATATTGTCTTTGCACTAGGTTGGCATTGTCTTGACATTTTTATATTGTCTTTGCACTAGGTTGGCATTGTCTTGACATTTTTATATTGTCTTTGCACTAGGTTTTCATTGTCTTGACATTTTTATATTGTCTTTGCATTAGATTGGCATTGTCTTGACCACACGTACAAAAAGTCTAGTACACGGTGTGTACAAAAATGGAATGCTCTGTGAAACACCCCGTCTATTAAATCGTCATTTAGCGGGATTTCTACTTTTAGTAGAACACAAACGCGCACGCAATCGGAAAGCCGGTAGCATAATCGTTCTTCGTCGATGGCGGCGCTGTTAAATATTTCTTCCGACTCGCATTTACGCTTTCTCTAATACGTATCAAATCGGCGATGAAATGAAATACACGTATAGATATAATGCGAAGTACCTATTTTGTGTGTATATTAATTACGCATATTATTCTGTCAATTATTATTCAACTATTATCTCGTTACCAGTGGAAACCAGGGCGTGTAACTAGGACACTTACAATACATTTACATTGTTCTACAAATCTTTCAAAACAGAATGTATCACTGATCTAACACTTTTGCCTAACGGCGCGCGCGGAATAGGGTAGCTTTCAAACGCTGACAAAGTGGGACTGTCCTGACATTGTATATATAAACTTAGATGTAAAAGTTGCATATCCTCATCTCATAAATCTTGTATTTAATATAGATAAAGACTGTGACCATAAACGAACTTTTTAGAGACAGCATCACTTTACACAGGAACAATATTTTCAAAGATTATGAAAAATACATGTAGTACACAACCAGAAAGTAAGATGTATTGTTTGCTAGGCGAAACAAGTAATACAATAACGTCGTAATGACTTATTATCGTCTGTAGAGACAAATAATAAACAAGAAATATAACGTTAACTGCATATATTACATGTATTTTATTGATAAATTTAAAAAATATTTCTCTCACTCAGTGTCAAACGCTCATGGCTAAGAGGACGTTGTATCAAGGTGTGAAAGGTCCATTGACGCTGCAGGTCGGAGTCTTCTACACCGATCTGACGCCTATCGCGCAAGGTGTGCCGGGAGTTTGTTCGAAATTTCGAACGTTTCGAGGTCAGTCGTCGATTGCCACGTATTTTACAGATATATTAAATCGTTTGAGGGGCCTGTTTACTAAATAATGATAAATGAAACTTAGAAAACTTGTAAGAACAAACTGGGCCCAAATTACCCAAATTGCATCCGAACCAGAATCTAGCAGCGTAAACTTATTGAAGTTTACGCTGCTAGATTCTGGTTCGGATGGAGTTCTACGCGTGATTTTATTGCGCTCAAGGACGTTCTATTTTCGAACTACTTGAAACCGGAAATAACGCAACTACTTTCGAACTTCAAACACAAATTTGATTATCGTTATTATGTGTTAGTTTCTGTTGTTTCAAAGATTGAATTATGTATGACAATAATATTTCACTCTATAAACAATATTTCACTAAAATATGTGATTCAAAAGCAACCCAAATTGTAAAAAGCAATATCAAGTTCCGCGTATAAACACTGTTGTAAAGAGGCGGCGGAGCGGAATTTTAGCCAAAAATCGGCTAGTAAGGCGTCATAAGACATTCGCTGGTTCCCGGCGTCCTTTGCGAATGGCAGGTAGGACGCAGGTAACTAGTCTGGTTTCCTGCCCAAGTTTTCACCGCTGAGGGCTCAAAGAAAAACAAAAACCGCCCTCAGCGTTGAAATGGGGCAGGGAACCAGACTTGGCTGGTTCTTCGCTGGTTCCCGGCGTCCTTTGCGAATGGCAGGTAGGACGCAGGTAACTACTAATCGCCATATTGTTCCATTTGGGCCGGTTTTCCGGCCGGAAGGAACGCGACTGGGTGACGTAATTTGAAAACATTCCAAGTTCCGTTTTGCGTAAACGTGTCTGTAATGCTACAATAAAGCCATGCTCATACATACTGCCTGCTTAGATTTACAGATTTGATATGTTCTGTGCTAATTTATAACAAAAGAAACAATTATTTTTATTCGCCCAACTTTCGAAAGCAAAAGGAAACCCCTGAACGGCCACGAGCGTAAGCGCTGACGTCAGTAACTAAGGAAATGGAACAAGCAACGAGAAAGTGATGTACCAATCAGAATGCCGGACCGTTACTAGTTACTGGCCTCTTGTGGCCGGGTACGCCATGACACTTGAGGCGGGAACCAGCCAACATATGACACATTGAATAAGTACTGAGAAATAATTTTAAACTCATAGTTGCTGTCGACATAGGAAGTAAAGTAAGCAAATAACACCGAATAAACGGCAAGGTAAAGACTATGTCTAATTATAGTAAACACGTACTGCGTGCGTGACTCGAACCGGCGCTCGCGTACGGCACCTAATCGCCTAGCTTCACGCCACTACACGTCTTCCCCTCGGCCACCGGGCATCCCCAAAAAAGGATGCTTAATAACCGAGCTTATTACGTGCAGAGAACATGAAACCCGTCCAGAAAATATGGTTCTGTCCCGTGTAATCGACATATGACACAGGTTTGTGCTGGGACAGCGCTTCCGGTGACGACACAACGGTGAAAGGTCATTTAATCACCTGACGTCAGAAGTCACGTGATAGCAGCCATTTTGATGCACTCGAGATTGCCTCATAAAGCTGCTTGGTCTTAGATTTTGAATTCGTGATTATTTATGCTTTTCTCCCCACAGTCAAGTCAAGTGATAGTCATGAGGGTTCTACTTCCGTTACTTATTATTGCTGTTTCAATACAGTGGTCACACGCAGAAGGTAAGAAACACTGGATAGGAGTTCTTAGCGATGGCGATGTAATTTTTCTGCCTTTGGTTGAAAATAACAAATTCAGTCACGACTGACCTACAATGGAGTTCGGTATTTGCATGTTTGAACGTCTTCATTATTATAATGTTGTTGCACTTCAATATATCAGCGTCAATATATATTCAAACTCTGGTAAAGCGACGCATATGTGTATTTTATGTTGGTATTTTAAGCCCAGCTTTGTCTCGACTCGAAATACTCAACTGTTATTTACAGTACTTCGTCCAGCTTTAGGCTTGAGTAGAGAGGCCGAAAAGGGTATAATAAAACTGTAACGCGAAAGCAACCTAGACGAATCATTTGTGAATTGCCAGGATTATCAAATATTAGGCCAAGGTTTGATTTATTTAACGCTTTGAACCAATCACGTTGATTAGCTAGTACTAGTGCTACCCGTCACAATGCCTAAACCATGGAAGGTAAAAAGAGAGGAGATAGGACGCTATTGTTCTCCCTTGTTCATTTTTACTTGGTAAACAATTCCGTAATGCGATTACGTGAATAATTAATATTCGGGTCGGCTCAATTCAAACATGACAACAAATCTTGCTGCACCAGTAAAACTATCAAGCAACATAACAGGGATTGCGTTAACCCCATATTTTGCTTCCCGGACTTCAATTATTGAAGAGGGACCCAGTTTTTCAGGCAAGCTGGGGTCCAATCTCTAATAAAGTTATCCAGGGTCAAATTTCAATCTCTTAAAATTTTGTAAGTGGGACTCGTCTTTCCGAGACATTAGCGCAAACCCTGACATAACCATAACCCAGCATCTTTCCATATTTGAGTATTTCAATCGCGGACAATAACTGTAAAAATCGTTAAAATGAAATGAAAAATATGTATTTATATGCTCATATCAGAAA